AAACAAGGAGAAGACTGATCAGAGATGCAGCCAAGAGGCCCATGATCACTCTGGATGAACTGCAGATAACTACAGCTTAGGTGGGAGAGTCTGTCCATAGGACAACAATCAGTCGTGCACTGCACAAATCTGGTCTTTATGGAAGAGTGGCAAGAAGAAAGCCATTTCTCAAAGATATCCATAAAAAGTCTTGTTTAAAGTTTGCCACACGCCACCTGGGAGACACACCAAACATGTGGAAGAAGGTGCTCTGGTCAGATGAAACCAAAATCAAACTTTTTGGCCACAATGCAAAACGATATGTTTGGCGTAAAAGCAACACAGCTCATCACCCTGATCACACCACCCCCACTGTCAAACATGGTGGTGGCAGCATCATGGTTTGGGCCTGCTTTTCTTCAGCAGGGACAGGGAAGATGGCTAAAATTGATGGGAAGATGGATGGAGCCAAATAAGGACCATTCTGGAAGAAAACCTGTTGGAGTCAGCAAAAGACCTGAGACTGGGACGGAGATTTATCTTCCAACAGGACAATGATCCAAAACATAAAGCCAAATCTACAATGGAATGGTTCACAAATAGACGTATCCAGGTGTTAGAATGGCTAAGTCAAAGTCCAGACCTGAATCCAATCGAGAATCTGTGGAAAGAGCTGAAGACTGCTCTTCACAAACGCTCTCCATCCAACCTCACTGAGCTCGAGCTGTTTTGCAAGGAAGAATGGGCAAGAATTCCAGTCTCTCGATGTGCAAAACTGATAGAGACATACGCCAAGCGACTTGCACCTGTAATTGCAGCAAAAGGTGGCGCTACAAAGTATTAGCGCAAGGGGGCCGAATAATATTGCACGCCCCACTTTTCAGTTTTTTATTTGTTAAAAAAGTTTAAATTATCCAATAAATTTTGTTCCACTTCACGATTGTGTCCCGCTTGTTGTTGATTCTTGACAAAAAATATTTTTATATCTTTATGTTTGAAGAATGAAATGTGGCGAAATGTTGAAAGGTTCAAGGGGGGCCGGATACTTTCGCAAGCCACTGTAATTGCTTGCACAGTGCTCCTTGAGATGTTTAAAGCTTGGGAAATCGTTCCACTTCACGATTGTGTCCCACTTGTTGTTGATTCATGAAAAAAAATTTAATTTTTTATATCTTTATGTTTGAAGCCTGAAATGTGGCAAAATGTTCAAAGGTTCAAGGGGGCCAAATACTTTCGTAAGGCACTGTATCTTCTAGGTTGCTTTGTGGAAAACCTTTTTATATTTGGATTGATTAAACATTACGTTGTGCATAATTGTAAATAATCTGATCTAAATATTGATTTGATATTTATCCGTCCGTAGTCCTAATAACTATTAAATAAAAAAGCGGGACCTTGTATACAACTTTGTAGAGAACCTTTACATAAACAATATAATAATAAATGTTGTAGTCATTGTATTGCTCAGTCCATTTAGTCTTCTTTTCTCCGCTCCACACTAGTTTCTTGTTTTTAACGCCTGCAGTTTGCGCATATCTTGTCTGGGCTCCAGGGTTCCCTCGTGCACAAAGATATATTGACTCTAGAAAGAAAGAGGAGAGCGTGTCCAAAACAGAAACTAATGCAGACTGGGAGCACTCCACCCTGGCGTTTGTGGCCGTAACCACATATGCCAGTCATTCCAGGTCCCTGCGCTCTCTCTCGAGCCGCTGTGGGGACCGCCTTGTGTGGTTTAGTGTTGCATATAGGTCATCTAAGCATGGTGAGGTTGTTCTTACTACTTCCTGGCATGCTGACAAAAGGACAAACTGTGGGGCACTTGTCACATTATACTGTATATTCTAGCTCCCACAGTGGGATGTGGAAAGTTACAGCTGCAGCTTTAAATTATGTTTTGGCTTCTACATTGTAATTGAAATCAAGCATGTTTTATTCATAGTCGAAGGAGAAAAAACAAAAGAAACGAGAATGATATTTATGATCTTTTCACAGCTTTTTAGGGTGGAGTTTTATTACTTTGAAACATTAGAATGAGTTTGAACTGCAATAAACTAAAGCTTGGTATGAACATATTTCATCCTAAAAGAATGCTGTTGACCGCAAAGCTAGAAAGGCAAAGTGTAATCACTGCCATTTGTTACTATTCAGAGCATATGAATAGAGACAGAGCCAGGAACAAAGTGTTGCAGTACATTCTATCAAAGAATGCACAACAAGATTTAGTCCAAACTAAACCTAAGAGATCATTACGGTTCATAGACTCTACAGTAAAATGATGCAGGTTATTTTGGACACTCAAAGACACCGTGATAAAAACCTGTGGATTGGCTGTCTAAGCGTCCTCATTGACCTGTGAGGAAGCTCTCTACTTTACATATTTTGGGCCACTATGAAAGAGTTTGGACTTCCCATAATTTAAAGCTGCATTACCTAACCTTTTTTACATCATTTGAATTGTGTTTGTCTTGTGTGACTTGTGACAACTCAAACCACAACATGCCTACATCTTAGGGTTAGATGTAGCTAACCCTAACCCCTGACCCTTAAATTTTATACCTCTAAAGTCAGTAAAAATAATAATGGGACTATTTACTCTTTTATAAAGTGAAATATGATTTTGATTATAAATTATGTGATGAAACAAAATGCTTTCCACCTGTAACTCCCTATTACCACCAGAAGGAAGAATAGAATTTCTTTGTTTTTCTTTGTCTTTTCACCTGAGTAATTGCCAAAACAAATGGAGGACAATTCATTGGTCGCATGTTTGACAATAGTTGGTCACACGTTTGACAAAAGTTAGCTGAAGTGATGCATTTTGGCCAGCCACTCTCCCGGTCCTCGACAGTCAGTGCCCAGTGGTTCTACTTCCTCAGGAGTAAAACGTGAGTATTCTTACCAAGCCCGTCGCAAGGGGGTGCGAGGCCTTGTGCGAACTTGAAATGCGAGGCCCTGCCCTGACACCTTTTTCCCAGATCTCAGGAAAGTTTTTCATGTTATAATATTTGACATGAATTCAGCACCGCTTCGCGCTGTGCGTGAAGAGATCAGCACGCGCGCAGACGTGTGTCCTCGCTCCAATGCAGTGTCGGACGCACACACGCACGCACCCACATACAAACTGTTACCGCGCTTGGCATTGCGATATTGGTCGCGGTCTTTTTAGCTGACATGGCTCTTTCGTCCTGTGGCAAAATGGCAGCAACTCAAAAGATTGAACCAAAAGGAGTCTTCTTCTTTTTCTAATTGTTAGATTACGGCAAAATGCGCCAAAATGGCTATGAGGCGGAGTCAATATTTGTTGTATTTTTTTCCTCATCAAATAAAGTTTTTGCCATGCCTCCACAAAAACAGCTCCGTAAAGTTTTTTTTTGGAGGACCCGCTGCGTACATAGCTTCCCGCGCGCCTGCCTATTTACAAATCGCTTTTGGTGAAAATTTGACTTCACTTGTAATAATGTACTTTTGAACAAAAGAAATCAGAGGTCCAGAGAAAGGGGTTTAGGGGTCCGAATTTGGAGCGTAGTCAACCCTTTGGGGACCCTTGAACTAGTATATTTATTTAATCGCGAGGCCCTGTGTGGTGCGAGGCCCTGTGTGGTGCGAGGCCCTGTGCGACGGCACAGGTCGCACAGCCCTTCTTACCAATCAGAGCGCCACTGATGAGAGCGGACCCGGAGCAGGACGAGTTTCTTGCACTAAAGTGTGGATTTATTGAAAACCAATGGAAGTTCAGGATGACAGGAGACACGGAAATCCCCACTTAAAGCTGCACTAACTGACTTTATTTTTGTATTCATTACGAAAAGTCTATCCATGTCCATGTAGTGCATTGGGATATACGTCCTTTTGAAGAAAAAGTAGCGCAGATTTGTACTGGCGTTTCATAATATTTTAGATTGAGTTTTGATGAAACAAGGAAGAGAATGTGTTTCGGGTCGCAGATTGTGACCAATCACAGCGGACCACTAGCCCCCACTTTCGTAAGAAATCTACAGGTCCGTTAGCACAGACAGCTGAGTTAGCACAACAAGCCGAGGAGCTAACCTGAAGCTTCGTTTGTCTTCGTCACCGGTTACTGCTTACACAGCGAGACAGCCATCCAAAAGAAAGTCTCGTTCCTCCGCGCTTCCCGGTTCTATCGTTCTATGGTCACGGCATCCACGTGCAAATCCATATCCATGGTTTATCCATATTGGAAGACGCTAGCTTCGTCAACAACACTGTGTGTGTGTGGGGGGCGATAGCTTCGTGGGTGCGGGGAGGGGAGCAGAAAGAGTCCGCGGCTTCAAAATCCCAAAGTCAGTTAGTGCAGCTTTAACCCGACTGTTGTGAAAGCTATAGGTTCTCTCTCAGTAAGTGGAAACCTCCTTACAGCCCATGAGAATTTAAGGTGCAGTACAAGTGGGCCCTCTCCAGATAATACAACACATCCATGACTAAGACAGGTGCTTTTAAACAGAAGGGGCGGAGTCACATGTTTGTGCCAGAACCTGATATTAGTATGGAGGGATCCAAAAATATTTTTTGTGATGAGGGTAACATGGGCAGCACGCAGTGATTAGCACTTCTACCTCACAGCAAAGAAGGTTTCGGGTTCTGCGTAGGTTTCCTCCGAGTGCTCCGGTTTCTCCTACCTCTAAAACATGTACAATAGGTCAGGCATGTGCCTCCTGTATGGTAACCCCACACCCATCACAGTTTGGAGTGAAAAGACAAATACCCACAACAATTGTAAAGGATTACCTCCTTACTTACTCACCAATATGTCTCATTTAGGACGTTCTTTTGCTACTTTAGGCTGATCTGATCTTGTAAACTCTTGTAGACAATCTTGAAAACCCGCCTTCATGTGGTGAGTGTGTTGTCTGTCTACAGACAGTGTTCAGTTATAGTAAAGACACATTGGCAACATGAAACTTTGATAAGGAATATAGGATGTGTACATTGCCTAGAGTGGTCGTTAATGTTTAATGTGGACTGCTCTGCTGACCGATCTGTTTGTCTTGTTTGTTTGGCAGGTGCTGCTGATCTCTGCTCTGCCCTCAGTGACTCCAGCAAGCTTCTCTGGTAAGACTCCTGTGCACTAGGACCATTGGGACCATCTGGGACCTAGGACTAGGCCTGACCTCACACACAGGAGACATTTGTTAGGATGTATCCACATATCTGCATTACATTTCATTCTGCAAGGTAGAAAAAAATCTTGTCTCTTCTAGTCACTTTCCCAGCTGAAATAACGTTATTTACAATCGCATGCCTGTGTTTGCAGCCAGTATATGTCTAATTTCTTTAGTTAAGAAATATCAGTGTATTTAATGAGTGGATAATATTTGATGATTATCTGTGTTGTTCAGATGAGGAGTCGTGTAGGCCTGTCCAAAAATGATTTCAGATTATAATCTATACAAAACTATTATACAATCCATGACTTGTTTGTTTAATGATCCATTATTTAGCTGTTTCCTTCGGGTGGAAACAGAAATTCTCACTGCTCCTCCTCCGATCCTTGGAGAGAAATGTGTGATTTTCTCGCCCAGAAAGCATGTACTGGAAATTGCCAGACCGTAATAAAGGAAGCATTAAGGTCTTTGCTGCGATCACAAGAATCTCAGCCTGAGCGCAGTGTCAGACTGGAGATATTTGCATTTTCAAGCCGGAGCCTGTTGATGTGGAGGAGGTAATTTCTGCATCTAGTCTTTATTTAGCAGGTGTTTGCTTTTGAAGTGAAGTCGCCGAGGTAAAACTAGTCTAAGGTCATCTGTTTTGAAATCATAGTTGTATCAAAGGAACCATCTGATCATTGGGACGAGGCAGTTTTTGCTGGATCTGTCTACTCTGTATTATTCTAGGGTTGGGATGCTCTTTCTTTTTTTGTTTTGTTTAACATGGACTTTAAAGGACATTTATAGACATATATTAATAGTTATGGACAGTGGTCATCTGCTCCTTATGGATCGATGGGTTTGTTATTGTTCATTTCCTATGTTCAAACAGTTTGTTTCTCTGATCTGTTGCTTTAGAATCGTCCAAATAGTTAAGGCCTCCGAGACGACTGCTTTTGTGATTTAGAGCTATACAGAAATACATTGAATTGATACACTGCAAAATGGCAACAAATGAATTATATTATGCTAAATTATTTTGAATTACTTTTATTAAAAATCAAAATTAACACTCTTAATGATCTTGACATCACTACAAATAACCAAATCAGTTGAAAGTTGGTTATTGTGCATCACTAGTACAGTAATATGTGGATAGGTTCATAGGTCAATTTATGATTACGTGTGACATTATTTTTGTTAACTTATGCATTGGCATGACAAGGTTTCAGGTAACTAAATATCTTGTTTATACCAATGCAGAGTTCATGAAACACAAAATCTACTCATCTATTGCTTAACAGTAAGATAATAATTACATTTTTGCTCATAATGTTTTTATTGCTGATTTAAGTGTAATATGCTACACAGTGCTGCCAAGTTTATCAAAACATTCAACAAATTGGCCAAAAACTTGTTGATATTTGATCCATTTATTTACTAACTTTCTTACTGTTACTTTGAACCGACCAGTATGTTTTTATTGAGCTGCGTTTCCATTGAATCTCTTTAAAGGACTTCATCAGCGGTCTAATGAAGTCATTACAATTATAATCCAAATTTGGCCTGTGACACATGAAACTTCTGAGCACTGATTACTGAAGCTATTACTGAAACTATTTATAACTAATCGTTTCAATCAGATCATGTAACCGTATGTTTTTACATTTCCCCTGCGTTATCATCGTAGTGCTTGTACGTCCAGCCCTGGGGGAAATGTATGGTTTATGGTTCACCAGGCATGTCCAAAGTCTGGTTGGTGGGCCTAGTGCCGCCTACTACCATTTATGTTCCCTGAACTCCCTCTGTTTTTGCTCACTTTGTTTGACCATTTTCTTTTCTGAATCTGTGATATGCAGATGATTCACCTGCCTGCTCAAAAATAAAAGAATATCCAGATATCACTTGAAGCCACACTGAATATGCAAGTGCTCCTCTCTTTAATAACCTTGTTTTAGCTCAATAGTGCAAATTCTAATGTACGAAATATATAGCCACGAGCTACAGGTGTCAGACATTATCATGGTTATCTGAATACTGTAAACTAATTTGTGGCACAGAATTCTGTGTCTGTTGTTAATGTAGCTAATGAGAAAGTAAACATTTGTTGTGAATCAATATGGACACGATGTTCTTTCTCTCTTTAAAGGACTTCATCAGCGGTCTAATGAAGTCATTACTGTACAATTATAATCCAAATTTGGCCTGTGACACATGAAACTTCTGAGCACTGATTACTGATGCAATCCACCTGCTGGAGTTTAATTAGAAACAATTCAAACTCTGTGTATGATGCTTGACTACCTCTGCTTTCAAACATATTATGCAGGGCTTAAAGATTTCCGGCACCGTGCCGGAAATCCGGCGTGAGAAAAAAAAAAAAAAAAACATCACTTTTTTTTTTTTTTTTTTTTTTTTTTTATATATATATATAAATAAATAATGATTGCTGTCATTTGAAAAAGGTTCAAGTGTGTTCTACCAATTGTATGAAAGGATTGCATGTGTATAGCGCAGGGATTAAAGAGTTCCGTCTAAGTGACGGATTTCCGTCAAATGAAATTGGTCTGAAAAAAAAAACAAAATATATAATAATAATATAATACACACAATGAAATGGTTAATTATAACAAAATATATAGTAATACGTGTGAATCTGTTGTATATATCTAGATATATATTAATAATTTGAATATAATTGTATTTATATGTCTCCCCCCTTGGACTGCCACCTTAACGTGGTGGGGGAGTTTGAGCACTCGGATGATCCTGGGAGCTATGCTGTCTGGGGCTTCATGCCCCTGGTAGGGTCTCCCATGGCAGACAGGTCTCAAGTGACGAGTCAGACGAAGCGCAGTCCGAAGCCAACCATGGACAGCACGACAACGAAAACCGTGACGTCGCCCGGCATGGCGCAGCCGGGGCCCCACCCTGGAGCCAGGCCTGGGGTCGGGGCTCGCAAGCGAGCGCCTGGTGGCCGGGCCTTAGCCCACGGGGCCCGGCCGGGCTCAGCCCGAAGGGATGACGTGGGCAGTCCCTCCTGTGGGCTCACCACCTGCAGAGGGGTCCGTGGTGGCGAGGTGCAGAGAGGACTGGGCAGCAGTCGAAGGCGGAGACCTCGACGACCCAGTCCACACACCCAACATCTGGCTCTTGGGACGTGGAACGTCACCTCACTGGGGGGGAAGGAGCCCGAGCTTGTGGGGGAGGTTGAGCGATACCGACTAGAGATAGTCGGCCTCACCTCCACACACAGCTTGGGCTCTGGAACCCAACTCCTTGAGAGGGGTTGGACGCTCCACTTTTCTGGTGTTTCCTGCGGGGAGAGGCGGCGAGCTGGGGTGGCCATACTCATTGCCCCCCATCTCAGCCGCCACGTGTTGGAGTTCTCCCCGGTGAATGAGAGGGTCGCGTCCCTCCGTCTCCGGGTGGGGGACAAGTCTCTCACTGTTGTGACGGCCTACGGGCCAAACGGTAGTGCAGAGTACCCGGCCTTCTTGGAGTCCTTGGGAGGGGTACTGGACAGTGCACCGCCCGGGGACTCCGTTATTCTCCTGGGGGACTTCAACGCCCATGTGGGAAATGCCAGTGACACTTGGAGAGGGGTGATCGGGAAGAGCGGCCCCCCTGATCTGAACCCGAGCGGTGTTCAGTTGTTGGACTTCTGTGCCAGTCACGGCCTGTCCATCACGAACACCATGTTCGAGCACAAGGGTGTCCATCAGTGCACGTGGCACCAGGACACCCTAGGCCGGAGGTCGATGATCGACTTTGTAGTCGTATCATCTGACCTTCGACCGCGTGTCTCGGACACTCGGGTGAAGAGAGGGGCGGAGCTGTCAACCGATCATCACCTGGTCGTGAGTTGGATCCGCTGGCAGGGCAGGAGGCCGGTCAGACCTGGCAGGCCCAAGCGTGTAGTGAGGGTTTGCTGGGAACGTCTTGGTGAGCCCCCTGTCAGACGGACTTTCAACTCACACCTCCGGGAGAGCTTCTCCCAGGTCCCGGCAGAGGAGGGGGACATCGAGTCCGAGTGGACCATGTTCTCTTCCTCTATCGCCAATGCGGCGGCTCGTAGCTGTGGTCGCAAGGTCTCTGGTGCTGGTCCCGGCGGCAATCCCCGAACCCGGTGGTGGACACCGGCAGTAAGGGATGCCGTCAGGCTGAAGAAGGAGTCCTATCGAGCAATGATGGTTCGTGGGACTCCTGAGGCAGCTGTCCAGTACCGGCAGGCCAAACGTGCCGCGGCCCGGGCCGTTGCAGAGGCAAAAACCCGGGACTGGGAGGAGTTCGGAGAGTCCATGGAGCATGACTATCGGTCGGCCTCGAAGAGGTTCTGGCAAACTGTCCGGCGCCTCAGGAGGGGGAAGCAGTTCTTTGCCAACACCGTGTATGGTGCGGGTGGAGGGCTGCTGACCTCGACTGGGGATATTGTCGGGCGGTGGAAGGAATACTTCGAGGTTCTCCTCAATCCCCCCGTCACGTCCTCCGTCCAGGAGGCAGAGGCTGAGGATGTTGGGGCGGATACTTCCATCTCCCTGGCCGAGGTCACCAAGGTGGTTGGCAGCCTCCATGGTGGCAAGGCGCCGGGAGTGGATGAGATCCGTCCTGACTATCTAAAGTCTCTGGATGTTGTAGGACTGTCTTGGCTGACACGTCTCTGCAACATCTCGTGGCGATCGGGGGCGGTGCCAATGGAGTGGCAGACCGGGGTGGTGGTCCCTCTCTACAAGAAGGGGGACCGGAGGGTGTGTTCCAATTATCGTGGGATCACACTCCTCAGCCTCCCCGGTAAGGTCTACTCCAAGGTACTGGAGAGGAGGCTACGTCCGATGGTCGAATCTCGGATTCAGGAGGAGCAGTGTGGTTTTCGTCCCGGTCGCGGAACACTGGACCAGCTCTATACTCTCCATCGGATACTCGAGGGTTCATGGGAGTTCGCCCAACCTGTCCACATGTGCTTTG